GCCAGGCATGCCCGACCATCCATTTTTTTCAGCCTCTGGTTTCAGCTAGATCGGCTCGACCATCAACGGCCTCAGCACCAGAGACTCCGGCCTTTCCTGTGCTGCATTTAATAGATGAGTCATCGCCGAGTGAGGAGTATTTGATCCCTCGTAAAAGGAGGTCTGTGGACGTCAGCGATGGGACAATCCAAGCCGTTGACTTTACAAGGGATGATTGCGAGCTGGCCGTCGTCTTGCCTGATGACAGTGCAAGTCTTCCGTCTGGAGTCCTGCGGTCAGCGGAAGTCATAGAGGACGTGCCCCTTCCTAATGCCGACATTGGAGCTGGTGAACCGTCTACAGAGGTTCTAGATACTATGCGGCGAGATGAGCCATCGACTTTGCAACCAGTTGATGTTCCCACCTCGTCTATCGGTGAAAGAGGTAAGGGGATTGCTGAGGATGGTTATGAGACGGGCTCCGATCTCGATCCTAACGAGGTTCAGATATTGAGCGATGGGTTTACTTTTTTTGAAGTCAGGTTGGAAGGGTCCTCGCGGACCATCGTGGTTCTCATGGATCGAGACTTATTGGTGAATACAGAGGACGTGGTTCCCTCCTTGGGTCCTATTTGCTCCGATGTGGAGGGTAGGACCCTCGAGAAGTTAGACGATACCGCCCTATCGACGGGTATAGCCGGCCTTTCCCTTAGAGTAAGTTTTCCGACCTTGCTAATTTCCGTAGTTTCCATGCCTTGTGCTTTGTTTTTGTTCTTTTTTAACTTTGATTTTCTTCTCCTCTTTTTTTTAGACCATTATCCTGGAGATCGAGAGTGCTCGCCGGGAGGAGAGATGTAAGTCCATTTTCAAGAAGATAGAACGGAAGTACCACGAGTACCGCAGTAAACACCGTGATATCTGCAGGCGATTTGGCGGGAGTGGTAACTTCCAAGCTCTCCGAGACTAGCTGAGGGAAAAGATGACAAATTGGTGAAAGTCATTGGTAAATGCAGCATCCTCAAGGGAGCGATGAGAGATAAGGAGGAAGAACTCGAGGCCCAATATACGGACCTTTAGGCCCAAGTGGTTTCTCTACGGGCCGAACTCGAGCAATGTTTGATCCAGGCTGATGCTCTGAGTGGCGAGGTCGCCGAGAAGACATCGGATTTGGAGAAGATCGAGTTGGCTCAGCTGGGGGCATCGACGAAAGTGGAGGCTTTGGAGGCCGCAATCCGCGTTCTTCAATCTGAGCGGGTAAATGATTTGGACACTTCCAATCTTAGAGAAGAGCGACTCGATGAATGAATAGGGGAGCTGGAAAGAGATATTTCGAGCCTTGGTGAGCAAGTCATCGTCCATGAGGCTGAGAAGGCGCAGTTATCGGCTCAACCGTCCTCTTCTCATACTTCTGCTTTCCCTGATATTCTGTGGGATTTATATGAGAAGTGGATTCACACCGAGGCCCAACTAGATATATTTAGAGATTTGATGATGCGGGAAAAGTTCCGGAGGCCGACTTTGAGGATGCTCGCGCTAAGGCGCGTACAGCTCGGGTCGTTTGTGGCTACGACCCTGCTATACCAGAGGTCGGTGATGTTGAGGGAGATGTGGATGGGATTGAGTAAGACACCTGGTACGAGGATGAGTATCCCGATGGAGAGGGCGATGGTAGGGAGACGGGTGGAGATGGTGATGCTAGGTTAGGTGGCGAGTAGTCGTTTTTTCTTTCTTTTTGCTTGTAACTTTTGTACATGCTTTTGTGGGCATCTGTTCTGGCCTTTGTAAAGAATATATTTGAAGTATGGAATGTCATTTTCGCTATTCGTATCTGATTCTTTCCTTATGTTCGGGCTTGCATGCTTCTTTCTCTTGTTTTACCGTTTGGTCGCTTTAGTTGTAAAAACTTGGTTTATGTGTGTTGAACGAGGTTGAAAAAGTATTTAGCTTTGGTCATGGCCGGGGCCACTAGGTGTTAATCCGAACGAGGTTGAATGTTACGTGTACTAAGTCAGTTCGAGCGAGGTCGAATGTCACTTAGTTAATTCGAACGAGGTCGAATGTGAGTTTATTCGAGCGAGGTCGAATGTCAGTTAATTCGAACAAGGTCGGATGTGAGTTTATTCGAGCGAGGCGAGTGTCAGTTAATTCGAACGAGGTCAAATGTGAATTAATTCGAGCGAGGTCGAATGTCACTTTGTTCGAACGAGGTCGAATGTGAGTTTATTCGAGCGAGGTCGAATGTCAGTTTAATCGAACGAGGTCGAATGTGAATTAATTCGAGCGAGGTCGAATGTCACTTAATTGTGGCCGGGGACCGAGTGGGTGTTGATTCGAACGAGGTCGAATGTAACCCGTGTGTAATTGTGGCCAGTGGCCGGGTAGATATTGAGGCAATGTTGCTCTGGCGAAAATATGGGCGAACTCCATACATTTGTATTTTGCTCATATACTTGTAGAAATTTACATGTTCTTCGGTAGAGCCGTCAAAATAGGCTTAGCCCATGAGGCCAGTTCAACCCAGCCCGCTACTAGGGTAGGGTTGGGCTAAGATATTTTAAGCCCATTTTATAACTGAGGCTAAGAAGCCCGACCAAGTTAGCCCACGGCCCTTCGGGCTTGACCGAGGCTGGCCCGCAGGCCAATAATTTATCTAAGAGCAAATATCATTTGTAGCCCATCGGGCCAAACATATATCATCCGGTAGCCAAAAATTAACCCATACAATTCATAGCCTAAAAATAATAATACTGGTAGCAGTCGCCCCCCATCCCTATCTTTCTTCCTTACTATCTTTCTTCTTCTCTCTCACGCCAGTAACCTATGGCTGTGAGGCCATGGACACTTTTCTCTTTCTCTCCCCCTCTCTCTCTCTCTCTCTCTCTCTCTCTCTCTCTCTCTCTCTTTAAAAAGTCTCTTACGTTTCTCTCGTCTCCCTTTTCTTGTATTTTGGGGTTTGGATCCTTTATTCGGTTCTGGAAAATCTGAAAGCCATTGTAATTTTCATCTTATATTTTAATTCTTGTTTGCAATTCATGATTTTGGGCTATATCTGGGTTTTGAATGCAAATATGCTATGATCCCAATTTATTGCCATCGCAAACTTATGATCCCAGATCTATTATGAATAAGAAAGCATGCATCGTGTTGTGGACCACACATTTGAAATGCTGATGAGCTATGAGAATGTTGTGTTTTGCAAAATACTATGTTGAATATGATGATCTGTGTTTTTTTTTCAATTTCAATTTGTGCTGGTTTTCCTAAATCTCCATTAGTTTGTGTTTTGTGACATAATTAATTGATTGATTCACAACTTTTACTGTTTTTATAATATTGTGGTTACTATTTTCGGCGGCTGTGAGGCCATGGACGCCGGTGTCCTCGTCGTTGAAGAAGCAACTCCGCCAACCACGACTCTCATGGCCTTGTCTTCTTTCTCTGATTTTCTCTTATAGTTTCTGTGAATATGAAGTTAATATTTTGAAGATCTTTGCCTGAAACTTTAAAACTCCAGCGATCTTGTTACCATTTTCGGCAACTGTGAGGCCATGGACGCCGGTGGCTTGTCTCTTAATGAGAGGAGATAACTATGCAGAAAGTTGAAATATATACAAAATAGATTGTCACTATACAAAAATCATACAAATTAGACTATCATTATACAATTTTATATACAATAGATATATAAAAATAGACTGTCATTATACAGAAAATATACAAAATAGATTGTCACTGTACAAAATATATACAAAATAGATTGTCACTATACAAAATATACAAAATAGACTGTCACTATACAAAATAGACTGTTACTATACAAAAAATATACAAAATAGACTGTCACTATACAAAATAGACTGTTACTATACAAAAATATACAAAATAGACTGTCACTATGCAAAAAATATACAAAAATAGACTGTTATTATACAAAAAGTATACAAAATAGACATTTCGTATATGACTTGCACTACATATTTCATTCAATTCTTAGCTAATACTTATCAGATCCAGAAGTGCAAAATACAATTTAAAAAGGCAAAAAAAGGTTGCTCTATCGCGCTAGGTAGGGGTCGAACCTACGTCCTTCAGCTTAGGAAACAGACGCCCTATCCACTGAGCTACAAGCGCTTGTGTTGTCATGCCCATTCCTTTCGGCTACTATATGCAATATGTTTGGGCCGAATGGCCATTTTCTGTAAGTGAGACAAAACGTGGGCTATTAAAATTTTGAGGGGCTATAGAGGGTAGTTTTTTCTTTATTTAATTCAAAATTTAAATTAAAAAAAAGGAAGTAAAGATTTAGAATGGGCTAAAGACGTAAGTCTTGCACCCTAATCATAAACTTTTCTTCCTCAATAGTCAACATACTACCGCAACTCTCTGCCTATCTCTCCTCAATCCTCAATTCTTTATCGCTAGCTCTTTCTTGATCTTCGGCATCAACGACTTACTACAAGGGAATTAGTTTTTTTTCTTGAGTTTACTAATCTTTCTATCTTACAAATAAATAAGTTCAATATATGGACTATTCAATCCATTATGTACATGACTAATGATCTGTTTGCTTCATATTTTATTCCCATGCATATATATTTCTCTATTTTACTTTGGGTTTATGTCTATTCTATATGCATCTGTATATGTATATGGGTAATATTTAGGCTTTTGTTTTTATTTATTTACTATATTTTGACGGCTTTAGATGTATGTGTTGATTTGTGTTAAGTCAATTAATTAAAAATATAAAAAGTTAAGCTAGAAGTAACTAAAACAAATTAATGGGAATTTTGCTGCAATGCAAGAAATATATTAAATTATGAAAGGATTAGCCAGCTTTTAATGTACGTTCTCGGGAGGATTAAAGAAAGAAAGATTATGAATTTATGATACTAGCAACTACTCTTTACTTTACTATATTATAGAAGAGCTAGGGTTTGGACCTGCTGCTTCATGTCATTTAAGCAAAAGCTTAGGGTAATTTTGACATTTCAGCACCATTCACACAAACCTACGTGTAAATTGAAAATCACTACAGGTGTAACATTAGCTTTTTCCTTTGTTTCTTTGAACTGTCGAATGTTTCTTCAGCTTCAAATTTCGAGAGTTTCCCTCTCTGCTCTGCTGTTGTTCTCATGTTTGTTTTGGGTCTTCTACCTGCTGGTATGTTCCTCGCTCAATTAATTTTGCCCATATTTTCTCTTCTTTTTCCTTTATCTGTTTTCTTTTCTGCGCTTCTTTTAGGTTCTCCTCTTCCTAATTTCGCAATTCAATGGCTATTGTGGGTTAAATTTGCGACTGTCGAATGCTATGACTTTTTCTTTTGTTTTCCTCCAAAGCGAGCTTTAAATAGTGAGTTTTCTATGTATTTAAATCCCCTTTTAATTTTTGGTTTAAACATGGAGGAATGGGGAGGAAGGCAAATATGAAGTTATTGCTATTTAATTCAGTTGTGTTATAAATAAAATCCTATTTATGGTGAATGTCCATATTTAGAGAGATTCTAGGGTTTATTACTTGGTGGCTAAGTCACCATCTCCCTATAAATAGAGGGTTATACTCCATTGTAATTCATCCCAAAAATTCAATAAGAATTCCCTCTCTCTCTTTCTCTGCAATATTGCTCTTGTTCTTTTATTGTTTTATAACACGTTATCAGCACGAGACTCTAACCACTTGAGTAAAAGCTTTGGGATTGAGCATAATGACTGTCAATTATTCCATGAACTTCCTTCATGATTAAATTCTGGATTTAAGGTAAGTATTTTACCGTATTTTTCTCTTTTATTCTATACTTTGATTTTAAATACAAGCAAAGACAACAAAGTTTGATTATAACTCTAATGGAGTTTGTAAGAAATTATAACCACCCGAAGTGGTAAAAGTTTCTATGTCTTGCCATGATCAAATTCATGTATGATTATGGGCACAAAAAGTGGAAACCCGCCCCATTGAATTTGATCCATTCTCATTCCCTTAAGAGAATGTGATAGCAGTATGTGATAAGTCTGAAAGAAGACAAAATTATCACTATGAATGTATCAATGGATGTGGACGTGGCAATAGACGAAATTATAATCGTCATCATTGTGATAATGAGAATAATAAGCATTCTCAAAATAATCCCCCACTTGTGAAAGTAATATTTGTCATCGATTTGACATGAGATTTTATAAAGCACATATAGATGATTATGGTCCATTCATGATGTGAATGTGACAACATCTTATTTATGAATACATATTCATTCTTCAAAGAATATGAACGTGCTAGTGGTAGTGAATATACCGCACTCATCTCTAAAAGGAGGTTTGAGATGATATAAGAAAATAATGTCATTATTATGGCATGAATGGTCATTGGTCACGTACCTATTGTACGCCAAAATATTTTGGTATTGTGATTATTAAAAGTCAACGGTAATGCAAGAAACAGATCTTGCATATAATTTTGACCATAACCATAATGGTATAACTTTCTCTTTAAAAGAGATATTCACCATATGGGTGTTGATGAATATGTGGTACTACAAAATTAATTGAGAACTCTACAAGAGCCAATTATACTATTTTGGAGAAGCACAATTAATTACCAATAAGGTATTGTGTTGTAGTAAGTCTCAAAGAAACTTATTCAGTTTCCAAAGTATACGCGAAAGCGATTGATTATATTGAGACTATAAATAAAGGAAAGATTTAATATCTTCTATTACTACAACTTGTAGCGGGGTAATATGTATGTGAAAAGCTACCCGCTTTATTCTCCAGTTTGTACTATACAAACAAAAGAATACCACAATAAAAGGAAGTTTATTGATATAAAAACCCATATCATAATAAACTTGGAGTTTATTGATAATTGCACACGTCATGGTGTAAATCTGAAGTTTATCAATATTGATAATTTATTCAGTTGGCATAATTGGTTTACCCATATCAATTTAAGTATGATGTGCAAAAATAAAAGAGAATTCACATGGGTAAATATTAAAGAACTAGAAAGTTCTTTACGAATTCTATTATGTTGCCTGTTCTCATTAATTAATATACCAACTAAAATTGGGATTGAATCCCATGAATGCTGGAAATATCAAAGGTGAATATGGGCCCGTTCACCTACCATGTATACCACATAAGATGCATCTATGAGATGGTTACATGTTCGATTATTAATAACCCGCAACATGGTATTTTGCGAGGTAACTTGCTCAATAATTTAATTTCGAGCATAATTTCCTGATTTTCTATTCAAGATAGTTTATCTTGATAAGTTGGTTAACATCACAACTGGTTTAGCAAAATAATTTATTGAGTGCCTCCATTTAATAGCTAAACAATTGCTCATGAGAACAAAGTTATCTATATCAGTTTGATATACGTTATATACGAAAGTATATTATTTTCTTCCCTCACAAGTGGTTCAGGGTCATGAACCAAATAATTCCATCTTATTATTATTGATGTGCGGTGTATATTTTGATTAACACCATAACGCACAAAAGTGGATTCTCAAAGTTGAGGTACCAAGTTAGTTTTTCTAACATGAGGGGGAGACATGATAAACAGTTGAGAAAAAGTTACATGGAATGAATTATTATTTATACATCTCGATCCTCGAATAAGATAATATGAACTTGAAGTTCATAAAAGATAATTCATCTGCAATATATTGCAATGCATGCTCGACGCATTTGCTGACCCAAAGAAAGTAACTATATTCTCATTGCAAATGCTCTTATTAAATCCTAGAAGGACAAAGTCTATGGTACGTTTAAAGCGTATAGACAATCGGTTTCAAATAAACTTCTTGTTAAAGAAGATGAGCAAATGATCAAAATGATCATAATAAAGGAGGCAAGTGATCTAGAAGATCACATGACATAACACTTCATAAAATCTCATGAGAGATTCAAGTACATGAATATATGAATGAAGAGATCTCTATGTTATGTCTTTATGAAAAAAATATTGAAACCGATATAAAATGTTTGTCGACAACATCTATGATAACGCTAAATATATATGAGCATCTTAAGTCTAGAGAAACAATTCAAGTAAAATTGGTTTCATATGAAAGACATGTAGTTTTGGAACTGCAATTCAAACACTTGAAAGTATAAGTCAATGGTATGTGCAATCAGTTTCCGATATCTCATATGTTTAGCATGACATGAAAACTTGATATGCATCTAAAGTCTATTATATGGCTTATATGACTTAACAATCCCTGAAGGATTTAAATTGCTTAAAGCATATAGAATTCATGTTCATGAAGTACTACATCCTCAGTGCAATTTGTCCACAAATGTATCTTGCTATAACTATATGCATGATAATATGATAGCAAGAGTTTTCACCTCTATGTGAAGATATTGAACTGACGATTCCAACAAGATCATATGAAGACAATTCATCTCTATCAAGAATGATGATTTCAAGGTGCAATATATTCATTCAAGTTAATATGGCTGATTTGTTCATCAAATCTCTACCAAAGATCTTTTGAAGATGGTGCACAAGATTGGAATGCAAATGCTTAAGGATGTGAAGTGATGCTCTCATGAGGGGGAGTTAATACACGTTGTACTCTTTTTCCCTTACAAGGTTTTGTCCCACTGGGTTTTCCTTGCAAGGTTTTTAACGAGGCAACCAAAAGGCGTATTATTAGATATGTGTACTCTTTTTCCTTTTCTAGATTTTTTTCCCGCTGGGTTTTATTTTAGTTAAGGTTTTAACGAGGCACATTATCTGTTGAATAGACATTCAGGGGGAGTGTTATAAATAAAATCCTATTTATGGTGAATGCCCATATTTAGAGAGATTCTAGGGTTTATTACTTGGTGGCTAAGTCACCATCTCCCTATAAATAGAGGGTTATACTCCATTGTAATTCATCCCAAAAATTCAATAAGAATTCCCTCTCTCTCTTTCTCTGCAATATTGCTCTTGTTCTTTTATTGTCTTATCACAAGTTGCCTATATTTGTATTTTTCTTTGTGCCTAATCTCCATGTGTCTATAGAAACATACTAATTAACATAAGGTGTTTAATTGGATCACAGTATCACCCTAATAAGTCTTTTGGCTTCTGTATCATCTCTTGTGATTCACAATAACCTTTCTGATATACACTATTGCACCTTAAGATATAATTTTGAAGCCAGTGTTGTTAAAACCACTTAAAGTGAGCTTAAGCCCTAAAGCTCCGAGAAGCTCAAGTTGTGCGCTTATCCTTGCTTTTTATTGAGACATTAACTACTTAATTAGGAAGCAATGCATAAAGTTGAAGCTGCCTATATTATTCACTTAAAATTAAATTTTGTCGCACCTCCCGTATGTGTGCTCAATACTCAGAATATTAGCAAAATAGCTATTTTATGCAATTATTGATATATTGATACTGAATGAAATATCGTGGGATTTATCTTTTAAAACAATCAAAGTGTGATTATTATGCATTAGCTCTCTATGCCTATGTTTTCTACTCAAGTGTGTGCAGCATGTGTTACTTACTGCTTAGAATTCTTCATGGGCTGAGGCTTGGAATTTTACATAAAGTTGTGATGCATCCGGAATGCAAGTTGTTGCTGGTGGATTCTTGGGATTGGCTATAGCAGCAATTGCATGTAATCACGGGCTCCAAATGTCAAGCATGAAGTTAGAGAAGCTGTTGCATTCCATTGTTGCGACCATACGAAGAATCAAAATAATAGATAGTTATCACCAAATTTGTTTATTACTTTATGTCATTTCTGAATTCCCCTTCAAGACACTATATACAGTTATGTGAATCAATATTGACGAAAGTCCCTTCCTCTAATACAGGTAATCTGATCTTCATTATCTACCACCACTTTTCCTATATTATGTATTTTTATGTGCGATGATGCTTTAAAATAGATTGTTAACAAAGAGCTGTGTGCCTTTCTTTTTTCTCCACAATTTGAAACTCTCTTTTCCCTCTGTTTATGTAACTACAAAAGTATTTTTCAGTTTGTCCTAATTTAGTTCTTATTGCTGGTGATATGTGAGCATATAGGAGTTGGAGACGCAAAATTTGTTACTTCCCATTTACTGGTAATATGCTAATTGAGGTTACATCATGGTCATTGTTTTACGTGGCTATTCCCTACGTAAAGAGTATATTACAACAACATGGTTCCTTTTATGTCATTATTTGTGAAATATCGAGCGTTATGCAGTCTTCAATTTTGTACTCTAGGTGCTATTATCATTAACTTCTAAGGTAGTGAGATTTCCTGTATTAGAAGTTTTAGGAGCAATTTCTATAGTAGAACTTTAAGGAGCAAACCAACATTTGATATCTTTTAAGGAAATCTAGATCTGTCTTACAAGCTATGACCAAAAAATCTCAAGATAATTCACCTTGAAATATGATCCTTCTGTATGAAACATATATCGTTAGTTAATTCTTCTTTGATTGGTACCACTTTCAAAAAAAATTAATTCTTCTTTGTAAATTCTTCACCTTAACAACTTCAAATAATTTTGCAGTGTTGTTTATTTTGTTGTTGATGATGCTTTTCAAATAGTATTTACCAGCATCTTGAGTCATCTCTGGCCTACTGGTTCTTTTCGCAATCTACTGTGGTCTTTATGGAAATTATTATGTTTTAAAATTGACTATATAAATAGTAACTTTTGACATGTATTATTTTGCACTCTGTGGGTTGTGCTTTGCTGGATACCATTCTTCGACCAAGATGATAACTTGATGATGATTTTCAGTTGTAAGACAATACAAAATCTTCTCATTCTGGAGGAAGTTGTTGTGCTTTACAGGATAACTTCTCTGAACAACTTACTCCTATGGACCTTTTTTGAGTGTTTTCCTGTGAAACCTCATTACTGGAGCAACTAAGAAGAGAGGTGTATAACAGAATGCAAGAAATGTCTCTGATCTAGCTCTTGTTGGCTGAAGGTTTACAGCACGCTAGGCTAGATAAAAAGGTATTATATCTTTCTCTTAAGATAACATTCTTTTGTTCTTTTTTCTACTAACCTTTGACGTTCAACTCTGAAAATTGAGGCGTCTAAGCTTGTAATATATTCATTTTGCCATTTGCTGATGGTTAACACTTTGAGGAGCATTAAACTTTTATAAATTAGTCTTACAAACAAATTACCAATGCATTACTAATGACATACAGTTATCTATTGTTTTAGTATCTTTAGATCTACTGAATTTTATATCAGTTTAAATGCTTAACATGACAATCATTTAGCAGCTGCGACTGTGAGAATGCAATATTTTTCAGGTTTATAGTGTTTGTTCAACTCCTGTTGAACATTCCTGTCAGGTTTGTAGTGTTTGTTCAACTCATGTTGAATTATTTAACTATACGCTGCACCAATATTAGTCCATAATATTACAATCACCAATGTTTATTAGAAAGAAATACAACAACATTACTTAAGTATCCCTAAAGGCTAAAAAAAATTAACATAATTATTTCCAGGTTTAAAGTATTATACAACAACAAACCCAGTGTGTTCCCACAAGTGGGGTCTAGGGAGGGTAGTGTGTATGGAGCCTTACCTCTACCTTATGAAGTTAGACTGTTAGAGAGAACATTTCCGATATACCTCAGAAAAAGCATATATTTAATATTATCAGTTAATAATTTTTCCATTATTTGTAGGGTCTTAAACGGTCAAGTGACTGGCTTTCTCATTGGAGTGAAAGACTACACGATCTTTGACCAAGAGACTAAATCTGTTGAAAGGACCTTGAGGCTTGCATATTGGATCATGTCAAAGGCATTTTCTATGACCTGTTGTACCCAGCAACCAAAATAAAAATATGATTGCATGTCATATCGTCTAGGTTGCCAGCAATCGAACTCCTAAATCTTCAGATTTGGGTAGGGGAAGAACGCCTCTCAATGACTACCAGCATGTTATGAGATTGGAGAATCGAATGCCGCTTATGTAGGGCAAGGTGGTTTAAATTTGAAGCAGTGAGGTATTGAGTTGGAAAGAATCAAAATTAGAACTCTTTGTCCCAAAATAATAGATGAATTATTAGAAGACTTCATGTAGTGTTGAGCACCAAGTAGTATTTATAGTTGTGTTGTTGAATTAATTTAGGTGGTCATGGGTTTTTCTATTGTCCGGTGGAGAGGATACAGTGCAAACACGTTCCACCTGAAGACATTCGTCCTAAACGTATGATGCTATTATGACATGACGCATTAGGGAACATCCTATAATTATGCTTTTACAGCAACATCGCTTTAGTAAGCCTTTTTTTTTTTTGGATTCATATAGGTTATTTTAGTGTTGTCCTGTATCAGAAAATTTATCCAACGGCAGCCAAAAGAAAACGCCAACTACTTTTTTATCTAACAATGTTGGGCTCATGCCAGCACGAGCCAGCACCACCTAGTTTAGATATAAATGCATATACTATACCAAAACTCTTATTAGTGGCAGTGATATTTACTTTATAAATTTAACACTTCTTGAAATTTCGTTACCGAAGACCAATGGATGATTCAAATGGAACACATGAACATATTGAGGACGTTGTGGAGTTAAATGATTCTGCAGAACCAAGTCAGAAAAAAACTAAGTTAACATCAGATGTGTGGTTTTATTTCAAAAAAATTGGCAGGACTAAAGATGGAATTGAAAGGGCTGCATGTAAAGGGTGTAAGAACCCATTTAAGGTTGGTTCAACTCCTGGGCCCAAAGGTAAAAACTATGGAACATCACATTTGCATCGTCATAAATATCAGTGTCCAATGCTTAAAGTTCATGATTTGGGTCAAATGTTCTTGAATCAAGAAGGTAAAATGCAATCTAGAAAAATAGATCAATGGACACACCGTAGTATGCTTGCTGAAACTGTCATTAAGCATAATTTGCCATATTCTTTCATCGAGTATGATAGAACTAAGTCTTGGGTAAATTATATAAGTCCAGATGTTACGATGCCTTCTAGGAACACTTGTGTTGCAGATGTCAAGAAAGTGTATATCCGAGAGAAGGAGAAACTAAACCAAATCTTAGCAAAAATTCCTAATAAGGTATGCTTGACTTCTGATTGTTGGACATCATCTAACTCTAAGGGATATATTTATTTAACTGCCCAATTTGTTGATGAAAATTGGAGGTTGGTTTGTAAAATTCTTAATTTCTGTCATATGTATCCTCCCCACACTGGAGTTGAATTGGCTACTCCTATATATGACTGTTTAAAGAATGGGGCATAGATAAGAAGGTATTTTCAATCACTTTAGATAATGCCACTGCCAATAATAGCTTACAAAATATTTTGAAAGGCCATCTTAGGTTGCAAAAGAGTTTGTTGTGTGATCGTGAGTTCTTTCACGTGCGTTGTTCTGCTCATATTTTGAATTTAATTGTTCAACAGGGTTTAAAAGCAGCTAGTGATTCCTTGTTTTCAATAAGGGAAAGTGTTAAGTATGTTAAAGGATCGGATGAGAGAAAACAAAAGTTTGAGCAATGTGTTAAGGGAGTTGGAATTGAAACAAATCTTGGTTTACGTTTGGATGTATCAACTAGATAGAACTCGACATATATGATGCTTGATAGTGCACTCAAGTATGAAAAGGCTTTTTCTAGTCTACATTTAATAGATAAAAATTATACTTATTGTCCTACATTGAATCAGTGGAGAAGAGCGGAGAAAATATTTCTATTCTTGGAGCCTTCTTATGAGACAACTAACTTGATTTCTGGTTCAAGTTACCAACATCCAACTTGTATTTTATGCAAGTTTGGAGAATTGAGTGCATACTTAATGGGAATTTGAATAATGAAGATGAGGTTATTAAGCAAAATTTCTTCAAGAATGCATGAAAAGTTTAAAAAATACTGGTCGTTATATAGTGTAGTGCTTGCATTTGGAGCAATCCTTGATCCTCGCATGAAGTTACAATTTTTAAAGTTTTGTTATTCTAAGCTGGATTCAATTTCTGCACAAGAAAAAATAGAGCATGTGAAAAATAAATTGTACAAGTTCTATGATCAATATGCAATAAGCAAAATATTGCGAGTGCTTCTTCTAGTACTCTGACTACACCATATGAAGAAAGAAGTAAATCCAAAGGAACGGGATTCAAAATATTCGATGTAATTAATTTTATTTTTCTATTTCTTTTTTCACCGTTAATATTATTATTATTATTATTAATATTATTATTATTATTAGTTCTTAAGCGTATTGTCATGTGTTTAACTTATATGAATTCAAAGCATTTGAGAATGTATCTGCTTCCAATGATAGAAAATCGGAATTGGATATTTATTTAGAGGAGCCAAAGCTTGATTTTGAGAAGTTTCACGAAATGGATGTTATCATGTATTGGAAGAATCATTCTGGAAAATATCCTGACCTATCAGTAATGACGCGAGATGTACATAGTGTCCCGATTACTACTGTAGCATCAGAAATCAACATTCAGTATTGGTGATCGTGTTCTCACCACGTATAGAAGTTGCATCCATCATGAAAATGTCCAAACACTTGTTGCTACTCGAAATTGGTTGCACAGATTTACTCAAACTCAAAGTAATAAGATTTTTTATGTAGATTTAATTTTGTTTATTTTTAAATATAGTTATTTGTTAATGTTTAACTAGTCAACATTGCATATGAATTGCAGATGAGGATGAAAATGACAATGTTAAGACAACTTTATCAGAAGCGGATTTAGATATGTCTGACAATGTGTTGGTATTGGATATGCTATAATTGCCAGTGAAACATTTTTTAGGAGGAGTTTATTTCATTAAGGTCTTTTTTATTTTTGTGATGACTGATGTCATTCGTTTAATAACTTTTTATTATACAATATTATTTTATCAATATTACTAGGACAATTTGGTTATGGACCTAAGATTTGATTAGACACTACGTAGTAGTCTAATAGAGTATATTTTGGTTGTTGAGCTTTTATTTTTTATATTTGGTTGATCTATTAATAACTTGGACAATTATTTAGTTTCCTGATTTTAAATGACAAAATTGCAATTATGATATATGATGTGTATACTGCAAAATCGGAGGGCCCAATTTCTCGTCATTAAGGCGTTTCAGAAGATCGTCTCGAAACCTCGAGGCTACAAGGCCGTGACCGAGTTTCCTCCCTCGAGTTTCATCGACTCCCGGCCTAGAGACGATGGTAACCACGATCACAATAGGAAAGGGGGGGTTCCCAAGGTACACGGTTAGGACTGACAAAGCCTCCTGGTCTACTCTAAACCCGAATCAGGGTGTCATATCTAGCTGTCCCGTCCCCGTATCTGTGTAATTAATGTATTTTATACTATGTAATTAATGTATCATATCCGCTTGAACTAAAACATTGTCACGAGCTAAGCGGAGTTGAACCTCGAAGGCAGGAACTTTAGCCAAGGCACCCTTCTCCTCTAAAGCCTGAACCTCCGCTAGAGCTCTTAGCTCGTCACAGTCACTCTTGGCTCGATCAGCTTCATCCCTAAGACGTTCCAGGGCTTCCGTCTTTTTCTGCAATTGGGATGGACGAAATGTTAGACTCAGAAGCTAAAAGGCGGAACGCATACTCGCCCGGGATGGAAAACTACCTGTTCCATCAAGTAGCTCTCGTAATTCAAGCTCCGGCTCGCCTCATATCGCAAGTGTGCCAGCCCGACTTCCTTTTCCTCGCAAAGGAGCCTATGGGATCTATCCTCATCCAGAGCTTTCCGGAGCCTGGCTCCATGATGGAGCAACTCAGACCTAAGCCTGTCAAAGGCCTGCAAAAGAAAACTCGATAAGGAAAGTAAGACGCGGGATTCAAAAGGCCTATGTCAAAACTCACCACGAATTGAAGCCGCCAGACTTCCTCGAAGGCCGAGCGCACATCTGTCGATCTAGCTCCCTCAGCCCTGGAAGAATCGACTCCGATCGAGGCACAGTCGCTCGGAGAAACCACCTTTCCAGAATCTGGAACCACGGGCGCGACAGGCTCAGGCGATGTTTCCGTCTCGAAGCCCCGACCCCGTTTTACCTTACTCTGAGCGCCATCGCCCTGCGAAGGCATACCCCGCTTATTATTGTCGTTCTTTAGCCCGGGAGTTGGCAACCCCTCCCCCTCTCCGGAGGAGCACGGCCTCGCCTCAGAAGGCTCTCCGATACCTACGTCAACAAGATTAATACGCAGAAGGGGAAAATGTCTCCCCAAATGAGTGAAGGAAAAGTAAAAAGTAGTACAAGCACACACCGTGATGTTTTTCTTCCCATCTACCCCGAGATGAAGCTCGCCACTTGCGTTCCTCACAAGTCGAGCGGGTTGCCAACTCCCGAACCCAACCAGGCAGATCAATAATGTCGCCCGACGCCCATGAAATCGCTACAGAAAAGGAAAGGCATGGTTACAAAACTAACCTTTGCCATAAACAAATTTGAGAAGGCACGAGATGTACCACTTACGTGTAAAGTTCCATTCCTCAGGGAACAACATAAGTTCCATAGGGATAACGTCGGCAGTCCGGACGCGGACCAACCGACTCATCCATTCCCGATCTCCATCTTCCTCATCGTCGACAATGAAGGGTGTGGTCGACCGACATCGCAAGGTTAGCAGACCTCGATGGTGAAATGGCCGGTACAGCCTAATGAGATGGCTGAGCGTGAATTCAAGCCCCGCCTTCTCCGCAAAAAATCTCATCATCAATACTATTCACCAAAATGACAGGTGGATCCGCACCAAGGTAACCCAATACTTTAAGCAAAAGTCAAGCACAACCCTATCAAGGGGAACCAGTGTGAAAGGATACGTGTACACATTCAGGAATCCATCGGCACGATCCGTGATGCCATCACTCGGGGAAAGTATCTGTAGTGATACTTTCACCCCCCATCCGTAGTCTCTCCTCACTAGCTCAAGGTGTTCCTCTCCTATCGAAGAAATAATCTTCAAGGTAAACTCTCGTTGATCCTGAACATTGGGAGCGGAACTCTCCCCTCTCTGCCGGACAGACCCTGATGTAGCAGTCATGGCTATGGCGAGACTAGAGAACTGAAGCAGGAACTTGTGCAAATACTTTAGTG